AAAAAATAAATATTCCCGTCCAATAACCGTCCACTTAAATTGGAAAAACTCTTGCCGCCGTGCGCGAAAAGGGGTATGACACAACATAGATGAGAAAATGTTTCACCAATGTGAATTCATTTGTGAGAAATACCTTTCACAATCATGATCACCATAGTAAGTATAATCCTTTCACAATAGCATGGATACTTTTCTTTCAAAGCATCCCCAAATCTTTCATAATAATTTCATAAAAACATGCATATCTTCATGATTTCATAATTCATGGATTAATGACTTCATCATAGGATCATAGTTGGTAAACATAATTTAGGCATGAGTCAATGCAATTTCAACTAAATATCATGGATTAACATCAATTCATGCATTAGAAGACTTAATTAACCATAGTTAATCATAATTAAATGAAATCCACATTCATTAAATTGAACCCCTAATTTGATTAATTGAAATCTTTGAGGACCCAATGGAGGAAAGGACTCCATGAGTGAATACACACATACCTTGATGCTAGCAGCCCAAAAAGAATGAAGGATTGAAGACTTGAATGGAACCCTAGCTCTTCTTCTTCTTCCTTAGGTTGAGAGAATTTGGAGAGGATGAATATGATTAGATTTAGGGAATTAGGAGAATGAGGTTTGAATGAGTAGTTTTTGGTCCTAAAAACCTTATATAGGGCTTAGGGTAGAAGACAAAACGACATGGTTTTCATTTGAAACGATTAGGGAAAACTCAAAAGCCCTTGAAAAATAACTATCGACCCATTCCTACGGTCCGTAGGTCTTGGTCAACCGTAGAAAGATTTAGAAACCTCTTTATTTGGCCAGCTTTTGACGAACACTGTAGATAGGTCCATTTACGGACCATGGATACCAACCGTATAACCCAACTTTGGCTTTAAAAATTTCACTAAGTTTAGAAGTGACCTATGTGACCAATCTACGACTCGTACATAAGGTGACGGGCCGTCCAAACTATACAAAGGATATTGGACTTGATTTTAGAAAAAAATATTTTCTCTTTCCCACGGTTGCCATCTACGGGCCGTAGAAGCTTTTATGGTTCGTAGATGGGACCCGTAAAACTAGACTTCAGCCCAAAAAGTCATTTTCTTCTTGTTTTCCAAAATTCGAGGTGTTACAATAACATTTTTCAAAATAAATATAACATAGGTCCTAGACCTCTGACGACGACTTTGAGGCTTTGTCCTTTAATTAGTTAGATTTAAAAAAAAATACTATAATAGAAGTCATCAAACAATATGACAAAACCTCTGCAAACACTCCTATTAAAATTTTAAGATCAAACAATACGGTTACAAGATTTTACATTCTTAGCTTCTTGGTGAAGAATTGAAGTGCTTCTTCAAGAATATACTTGTGAAAGAAATATTTTAATAATAGTGTATTTTGAGGTGAAAGTATAAAAAAAAACCCGACAATTAATTGAACCACACTGATATCAAAGAGAAACCCATATGATTGGGATGATTTTAAAAAATCTAATTTTATTTATACATTATAAAATACTTGAAAAATTAGAATAGTATAATTTTTAAAAATAACCAATCGAACCGTACAGTAGGCACAACCACGTGTAGTTTCACACAAACATGAGTGCTTAAAATGGAGAGGAAGGGAGAAGTATGATAGTGAAAAATGAAAATAGTGGAAGTGGGTTGGAACGGAAAAGGTTGGTCAACTAGTCGACTCTGTCAATTATTTGAATCTTTTTTCTCTTTTTGAATCAATGATTGTGCGGGGACGGTTTGTTTGAAACACCCGCAAAAAACACAGCGAAAAAAGAACAGCTCTCCTTAATTGGCGGTGACTTTTAGATATTGTAATGTTTATTTTGAAAAGTAGACATAATTGGAAAAAGACAAAAAGAAAAAAAAAAAAGAAGGTAGACGAAGAGGATCTTTGAGAACCTCTACTTCTCCTTCTTCTTCCTTTTTCCAAACCACTATTTATTTATTTTTCTTTGTTTTGGGGAAACATCAAGAAACAGACATCATTTCTGGTAATTTTTGCTATCTTTTCTTTCTGGTCAATTATCATATGCTTCTTGTATAGTTGTTTAATTTAATTTTTGATGATTCTGTGCCACAAAAAAAGAGCAATCTTTGTATAGTGGAAAGGTTATATATATGTATGTATGTAATTAAAACCAAGCTTAGCTCACAAATTCGAACCTTGTTGTTTGGGGTTTTGGTCAATTCCATACTAAGAGATGGTATTGGTAATTGATCTTTTGGGATAAATTGTGGGTCTTAATTGTTTAGCATGAGAGAGACCTTATATTACTAGTCTTGCTCATGCTTTTAATTTGCTACCCACTTATGACTAGCATCTCATGTATGCATGTGTTGTAAAGAGCTCAATCAGATGCTTTTAATTTGCTACCCACGTTGACTAGCATATCATATATGCATGTGTTGTAAAGAGCTCAATCAGATGCTTTTAATTTGCTACCCACGTTGACTAGCTTCTCATATATGCATGTGTTGTAAAGAGCTCAATCAGATGCTTTTAATTTGCTACCCACGTTGACTAGCTTCTCATATATGCATGTGTTGTAAAGAGCTCAATCAGATGAGGTTAGATGGTGTCAAAACCACAACTAGTCCTAGTAATATCATGTTTTTCTGTCTAAATATAGGAGATTCAATGCAACATCATATCTTTAATAATTATCAACTCCTATATTGTAAGCAACTCAATCGTTCACCAAGCATAAGTCAGTTATATCTTCATGAATCTGGAATTCAAGTGTCAATGGATAAAATGACTAGATAGCTGTTTAGAGTATAAGATGTGGTGTCGATGTGATTAGTAAAACATGGGGTCAATTTAATTGAGTTGTATTTATTCAGTACTACTACACCATCTTTGTGTACAACAGTTGCATCCCTAAACTGTATTCCTGCTGGTGTATGGTTAGGTGTAATCATCCTCACTGACAAAGTTACTTGCCATTTTTTCGTTATGTTAGAGCTAAACGGCGTTCTCTAGGTACTATTGCCTAGCTAATAAACTAAATAACTACACATTTTAAGTTTGTGTATTTAGCAAGCATAACTTTTTTGTATGATTTGTTGTCTCTTTTTCTATATTTCAAAGCCAAATGAAAGACCATCTGCTACCCTTTATGTATATGTTTAATCTAATTGGAGGACGAATCTTTCACATGATTTCTGCTTGCTGTCTAAGGATTCTTGCATATCTAACTTATCAGTTTGAAACAAGTGGAACCCAAATTCAAGCTACTTTCACATTTTGATTGGTTTAAAGACACATGTTATATGCCTGCTCTTAATGTGCTAAGCTGCTGATGTGGTACGCTCCACTTGTGCTAGTCATGTATTTCGCTGATGAAGTTTATGACATTGACATTATCTGCTATGGAGGATTCTGAATGAAGAATCTTCTGGTGATGGAAGAAAAGAGGATTCAATTATCTAATGTTTCCCCGAAAAGTTGATTTTGTGATTCCTTTCCGATATTTGGGGCCCGAAAGAGAACTTGTTACATTCTTTCAATGCTAATGAGTGTATAAACTACTATAAGGGTTAAAGTGCTCCAAGTAGGACTATTAACCACATGATTTCTTTTTAATAAAATTTATTCTACAAACTCTAGTTTTATCACTTGGAAACCTTGAAAGATGCTTTTTCCATGTCTACTTCTATGTCTTCAACTGAATTTCCTGAAGCATTTTGCTGCATGAATTGATAGCAAAGCTACTAGGAAACTAACTTCTTTTTTCCAAGTGCAGCAACCATACCTCCAGCATGTGCATTAGTACAAATAAATAGACTAGGCATTTCATCTGATTGTTTGTTCTTTCAACTTATTGAGATTGATGTGTGATGGAAGTTTTGTATATAATGTATTTGTAGTTTCGTGAGAAGTGTCTACCAATGTTGGTACAGGAAGTGCAGTTCAGGAAGTTTCTTTAAAGATTACTTATGTTCCTGCTTCGAGAAAACACAAGTGGAATATTTAGTTATATGGAAAAACTGATAAGACTTAGACGATAGAATATTGGGAAGAGAAAAGGAGTTCAGGCAGCATTTTGTTTTAAAAGGTTCCCCTTCTAGGAGCGAGCATATACAATCCAAGGATTTGGTTATATGGAAAAACTGGAATAAGCCTTAGAAGTTTAAGTTTTACATGGACTATCCTAAACTAGGATTGGTCTCACCATAGAATGGTGTGTCCTTATTCCTTAATGAGAGTGCTGCAGAAGAGAAAAAAGTTAAGGATGACAATAAGTTTCACAGATGTATTTTTTGTGGCGTTGACTCAGTGGTGGAGCCACCTTACAATGAGGGGGTTTGAACCCCCTTCGGCGGAAAATTCTATGATTTATACATGGTTAAAATAATTTTTTAGGTATATATAGTAGATGTCGAACCCCCTTCGTCTACTTCGTGTGTCTATATTTTTAGATTTTGAACCCCCTTATTGAAAATCCTGGCTCCACCGCTGTGTTGGCTGACTACTTTTTCATTTCTCATTTTCCTTCTTGTTGTTTTTTTTCTTTGCCTGGCTTCAATGTAGTTGATGAGGAAGGGGAATGGATCAGAAGAAGAACAGCTGCATATCTTTTTTATTAAATCCATAGCATGCATATGCAACGAGTTGTAGACAACAACTGGGTCTAAAATAACTGCATAAAAATTAGGGACTGTACCTCTCTGGTGTGATCTTTTACTCCTCCCGTTTATGTGATTCATTGATGAAAATATTAGGGAAATATCATGGATCAGCTGATATATAAATATCCATTAGATAAGTTAAACTTAATATGATAAATGTACTTGCCGACAAGACTTTACTTGGTTATTCCAATTATGAAAATCCCTAGTACTTCTCTTTTTGAAATTGAATATCTTGTTTGACTTCACTTCCTTCGATAAGTAAAAAGTGTCTCATAATTCTTTATTGAGTTAGAGTTCAAATAAAATTACTTTATGGGAAATGTGTCCTCATGTGGGATAGTATTTTTTTGTTTATTTGGCTGGCAATGTAAAAATGATATTGGCATTAACTAGTGAACATAGGATAAGTATTCCATTTACAGAAAAAGATTTATAGCTTAGGGATAGGATGAAGTTATTCATATTCTTAGTAAAGGTGTGTTGCCCTAAACCTTCTCGCAAAAGTTAACTTAGTTTTTGTTATCCAACTAGCAATCCTCAAATGAAATGAATGACTGTGTAGAGGTTATAGTGTAGAAACTTCAAAATAGGTGATCTTAATATTGTACAGAAAATAGTTGCAATTGCTTAAGTTTAAGTTGGTCTTCAAGAACAGTTGTTTGATATCTCCCAATTCTGTAGTTCACCTTCCTGGTAAAAGGTTGGGAAAGGTGTTTGGTTACTTGAGAGAGGTTATGTATCCCCTTACTTATCTTTGCCAATTTTATTTTTTTGGTTCATCTCAGCTCTTAATTGGAAATGGGAAGATGCAAAAGATGTGAAGGGAAGTTCTCCCCAAGAATGTGCTCCTAAACCTGAAGTTTCTGTTCCGAAGGAGGATCACTCACATAGGGCAACTCCAACTAGGCAACATATGAATGAAACAGCAAACTCTGAAATTCAGGAGCCCTACCATTAAATCTGATGGAGCAGGTGACATTTCTAAAAACAGGAAGTGTTCAATCAGCTGTGCCAACAGTTCAGCAGGAAGCCTCACCTAAACTGGTAGAGGATCTGAAATCGTTAGAGCCTCCAACAGCTCTCTCAGAAGCCAGTTCATCGTCTATATTGGATGCAAAAGCAAGTGATTCATTGCAGCAATCATCTGATGGTGGTTGCGGTGGTGGTCTTTTGAATCAACTGAATCATACTACTGATGGACCAACAGAAGAGCATGATGCTTCACCTTTATTAACCATGAATTCAAACCCTGCATCCCTAAAAGAGGAAAACCAAAAAGAATCTTCTGACCACATACAATCTGATCCTTTAAAAGGAGAAAAAAATAACGTCTCACTACTTCAACAAGATTATTCTCCAAGTATTTCTCATGTTTCTGCTGAAACAACTTCTTCATCCACTCAAGAACAAAAACACAAATATAATATTCATGTAGAGGTACCTAACACTGTTCAGTCCCTAACCAAGGCTTCCTGTCTCACAGTTAAGATTCCAGAACCCAGTGCCAATTCTAAGCACCCTAATAACTCTGTTATTAACAGAGTTAAAATTGACACAGCAGCACCAATTGAATCTGTGAAGCAGGCAGTTTCCAAGTTTGGAGGCATTGTTGACTGGAAGGCTCATCGAGTACAGACTGTGGAGGTAAGCTCATGAACCCTTTATACACTCTTTGAATCTCAACTCAGGTAGACATTTGTTTGTCATCAAAATGAGTGTGTTGAAAGCCACTTTAGATGATTCTATCTAATGAAGGATTGCATCTGCAAGTTCACCGGGATACTGCACCATAAGAAGTGACTATTTAGATTGTGTATTTATATTTTATATCTTGCTGACCTGTACAGTCATCTTTTGGACATCTGTCCCACGACAAATATTTTAACTAAATCTTCCACTTCTGGATAATGCAGAGAAGGAAAGTTGTCGATCAAGAATTAGCGAATGTGCAGGAAGAGATCCCATTTGTACAAGAAACAGTCTCAGGCTGCAGAAGGAGCAAAAATGATGGTGTTGAAGGAACTAGATAGCACTAAAAGACTGATAGAAGAGTTGAAGCTGAACCTGGAGAGAGCACAAACCGAAGAACAACAAGCGAAACAGGACTCAGAACTTGCCAAACTCAGGGTAGAAGAGATGGAGCAGGGAATTGCTGATGAGGCTAGTATTGCAGCCAAGGCGCAGCTTGAAGTTGCTAAAGCAAGGCATGAAGCAGCAGTTTTGGAGCTAAACACTGTGGATTATGAGTTGAAAAGATCTGCATAAAGAGTATGATTTATTGGTGTCAGAGAGATATGATGCTGTGCAAAAAGCAGAGGAAGCGGTTTCTGCCTCAAAGAAAGTTGAGAAAGAAGTGGGAGTATTTGACTATTGAGCTCATCACTACAAAGGAATCTTTAGAAGCTGCACAAACTGCACATTTGGAGGTGGAGGAACACAGAATTGGAGCTGCTATGGCAAGAGAGCAAGATACTCTAACATGGGAGAAAGAACTAAAGCAGGCAGAAGATGAGCTTGAGAAGCTAAACCAGCAAATACTGTCTTCGAAGGATCTCAAAGCAAAATTATACACTGCTTCAGCTTTGCTACTGGATCTCAAAGCTGAGTTTGCTGCTTACATGGAATCAAAGTTGAAACAAGAGACTGTTGAAGATGGCAATTTTGGCGAACTGTCAGAGCCAGAGAAAAGAACTCATGCCAAGATACAAGCAGCGGTTGCCTTGGCTACACGGGAACTTGAAGAGGTGAAACTCAACATCGAGAAAGCAACAGATGATGTAAATTGCTTGAAGGTTGCTGCAACTTCATTGAAGGCAGAATTAGATAAAGAAAAATCAGAACTAGCTTCCATCCAGCAGAGAGAAGGCATGGCATCAATTGCTGTAGCATCTCTTGAGACGGAGTTGAACAGGACCAAGTCAGAGATTGCCCTTGTGCAGATGAAAGAGAAAGAAGCAAGAGAAAAGGTTGTGGAGCTTCCCAAGAAATTGCAAGAGGCTGCCCAAGAGGCTGATCTGGCAAAGTCACTTGCACAAACAGCTCGTGAAGAGTTGAGAAAGGCAAAGGAAGAAGCAGAGCAAGCAAAGGCAGGAGCAAGTACCATGGAAAGTAGACTAATTGCTGCTAATAAGGAGATAGAAGCTGCAAAAGCTTCTGAGAAGTTGGCGCTAGAAGCCATCAATGCTCTGCAAGAGAGTGAATTAGCTCGAAGCACCAATGATGAAGATTCCCCATCTGGAGTAACACTTTCTCTTGAAGAATATTATGATCTCAGCAAGCTGGCCCATGAGGCGGAGGAGCAAGCTAATAAGAGGGTGGCTGCTGCTATCACCCAAATTGAAGTATTCAAGGAATCAGAACTGAGAAGTCTAAGCAGGCTGGAGGAGGTTAATCATGAGATGACCACTAGAAAGGAAGGTCTGGAAATTGCAATGAAGAAGGCAGAGAAAGCCAAGGAAGGGAAATTGGCAGTGGAGCAAGAGCTGAGGAAATGGAGGGCTGAGCATGGGCAAAGGCGGAAAGCTGGTGAATCTCTTCCACTGATAAACACTACCAGAAGCCCGAGAACGAGCTTTGAGGAGAGTAAAGCATCGAAAACCTATGAGAGTGCACCAGAGGTTGCTTCACTACATCATAGGTCAAGTCCAAGAGCATATGAGCAAGGAAGTAATACTGAAACTGATACATCTCCAGAAGTGAAGATCCCAAAGAAAAAGAAAAGGTCCTTCTTCCCAAGGCTCTTGATGCTTCTGGGAAGAAAGAAATCACAGGCCAAGACAGCATGATGTGCTTTGGGGTTTTAGGAGAATCTCCCTCATGTTATACAACTGTCCCTTTATTTTTCTGGTTATTTTTCTTGGTTGACGGAGTGTAAATTCTCACTGCTTTTTCTGTATACATCTCGCATCATGTATAGTACAATATCAAAATACTTCTCTCACCTTTTGGAGGGCTGTTTATAGAACAGAGTAAGATTGTTATAGGTTTGGCCGAGTCAATAAAGTGATTCTGTAAGTAAATCATCTGCTGCTTCAACTGTTATATCCTGCTAGTTCTCAGATTCTGAAATATTGGGTTTCTTGGCAGTATGGGTTGTATAATTCTAGTATTTTCTAATTTTTCATATCATTTGTGATAGTATTCTGCTTGTTTTCCGCTTTGTTCATGCAATCCTGATCGAATGCTGTAATGAATTGTAACAAATGTGCATATTGACCATTTCTGTTGGGTAGAAGATGCATAAGTTATTTAAAGCACTTATACACTCATTGTCAGAAAAATACTTACCTGATCTCCATGTTTACACTTTACACCAAACCAAGGAATTTAACCTTAACAGTAAAACGTTATATGCATGACATGTGCCTTGCATTCACCGATTTGGCGCAAACCTGGTGCAGGTAAGATTATTACTTGGTGTGGCCTAAAGATCATCCTCAAATAACCTGTCCTTTGATCTTTGTGTAGAAACCATATGCTACCGTATAATTTCCTTCATTGACAACTGTTCTCTATATGTCCTAGTATTATATAGTCAGTCAGAAATGGAAGGACATGATTGAAATACACATAAGTTTCTTATACAAGGTTGCTTGCTTTACTGAATGGCCTTTGAATGAAAACATTTAAGTATGCCATGTTTTCAACAAACTCCAATAATCAAGAACTCAATCCAGCAATGGTTTGAAGAATGGTTTTGTGCCATGGATTGGAGAGATGCTCGATCAGATTGTCAATAGGACCAACATGAGTAACAGAAAGCCTGAACGAAAATACCAAGCATAGCCACCATAGCTAGGCGTCCTTACAAAACAAAGGGAAGTATAAATATTGGACAAGACTTAAAAAGCACTAAAAGAATGATGCATCTCAACAAACCGTTTTTTTAATCTCTTTCAGTTTCCAGTCTTTAGCATTCTTGATATCTTTCCAATTCCCAAGAGGATTCAATAAAGGGCCACCTGGATACCTGCTAAATGTCAAGATTTCTGGCTATGCTTAGTAGGAGTATAAGCCCGCTCAGAGGCAAATCCAAAATTTAAAGTCTATGTGTTCAGAATGAGTATTTAGAATAAGTGTAATTATATTGTATACATCTTAATTTAGTATCTGTCATCTATGAATGTAGTTTGGACAGAAAGCAACGGGTTTAGTTGAACCCATAGTACTCGTGGTGGATCAACCTATACAGTTCTTCCCCTACTCCCGCACTAACAAGGGTAAGCCTTTCATTTTTGGCAAACAAAAAAATATTAAAATTACCCTGGTTCAAGGCCTTCCAGTGCAGCTTCTAGTCCAAAAAAGGATCCAGGTTTTGCTTGAGAGCCAGGATCAAGAAAATCCATGTACCTTTTTGTTTCAACGAACCTGTAAATATAAGAAATCAGAGAGAGGGATAAGTTAGTGCCGGCATAGATTGTCCAGAATTAACATTCTATCAACCGGTTAAACGTTGTACCCATCAATAATAGTTGAATGATGAGCAGAGTTGTTGTGCTGGGAAAAGTTGAATTTTGTAGCTCCTGCTTCATACCACACTGGCAAATCCCTTATTCCAGTGACACGAAGCAACTAAAAAGAATGACCAGAAATGTTAGGATAAAGAGAAAAAAAATGTTACACAAGTATTAAATTATGACTTACATCAGTTAAAAGAATTCCAGCAACCCCAGCCATGGCGAAGCGGGCATGAACAAGTTCTGCTTGTACATACCATCTCAAACTTTCAGGATCCTCTCCAAGTCCTAGTGGATCAAAACCAAAATCTCCAGCAAGACTATTAAAAAGAAAGTATATAATGATGAGCCACTAAGTAGGAAAGTTGGTTAATTAGTAGGCAACGAATACGCTTACGTTCCATCAAGATGAGGCGGAGGGTCAAGACCAGGAAGCCATGTTGGCCTTTGGTGAGCTTGAACCAGAGTTGTGCATGGTGTTAGAGAATGTCCTTTTCTATTACTAGTCCAATTAAAGCCTTTAGAGATACACAAGTTTTACGTATACTCTTCCATGAAAAGATGAACCCGACAATGTCAAAACTTGGAAACCTCTACCCACTGCAATCTCCATATATCACCACTCAACAAGCAAACTCAATTGGTAATGGGTGAATAAGCAACTGCACATACTACAAATGATATCCAAAACTTGGCTTTGTGGCGTTACAAATAAGATAGGAGGGGTCCCCACCCCACTTATCTCTTTTTTAATTCATCCACCACAAGTTTGTTGAAATAATCTTTGCTCAAGGTGTTTGATGAGCTAGTTTGTTTCTTCCTTCCAACAACTGGATGAGTGGATGTATATTAGATAGCTATGAATGATGCGTGCTCAAAAAGCTATCACCTACCTAAAATGGGTTCGTCATTAAGAGACACTAAAATGGGTTCGTCATTAAGAGACACTAAAATGGTTCGTCATTGAAATTATTTGCAATAAACATTCACTACTTAAATTAATTGGGAGGCAAAACTCCAAAGGCCAGATTTTCTATATGGGAAGATGACATGATATGGCCACAAATTTTTTTGAATGACCCATCTTTGGATTATATGATGATCCTAAAAACACTTTAGGCCCAAAATAATGATCCAAAAATCACTTCTGTTCCCTCTTTCATTCTCCCTCTCTTTGCACCATATTCATTACTCTTACGACACATTTCAGATTTCGAGATTCAAACAAGTATATCTTCTAAATATTTTGAATTATTAATTATTGTTTATAAATATATAAATTTTATTTTAAAAAATTTGAAGATTTCATGAGCAAATTTTCGATCAAATTTAAACATTCTCGGAAAAACGAAATTTGTCAAATAAATTGGGACAGAGTGTACTGAAAATCCTCAACGTGGTGAGCAACAACAAATATTAGGTACCTAACAAATTTGGAAGAGGAGACTCTGAACTAGAGAGTGGAGGCATCATGTTAAGCTGGTGCGTGCTAAATTGAGAAGCACAACTCTGCAAGTTTTAAATATCAATGAACAAGAATGATCCTTGAACAACATTTGAAGTACATGATTGGAGTGACAGAGAAAACAGAAAAAAATAAAAATTTAAGCTAACAAAAATATGAGAAAATTTGAAAATATTTTTCTTTCCAACAAAACACAAGTAATGGATTGACCTATCGTCTGATCAATTAACTTATTTTACTTGTCATCTTCCAACCTTGTACTAGGGGGTGGCAATTTCAGTCCATATAACTGAAATGAAATCATTTTGCTCATATTAAATTAAATGGATCACTCATATTTTCTTTCCTTTTCTTAAATGGGTTAATATGGTCTTCAACCTATTTAAGCTCATACAAATATGAACAAAATGAGTTAACATGAGAATCCATATCCAGCCCATATAAGTGAAATGAAATAAATTTCTTTTTTTGTTTTTGGAAAAAGAAAATAAAATTAGGGATCGGTTGGTGGAAGGTGAAGGGTGCCCGGGGGAGGGGTAAGTTGTACCACTATTATCACCATCAGAATCCAACTATCCAATTATATTAACAAAATCATTTGAGAAAAGACTCATCAAATCAATATACAATCCAACATAAATGAAAAGTCTCTTTATGTATGTACGGATAAGGATCGTTACAGTTAGCTCCACTATTTTCCATATTAAAGTTCAATGGAGAAATTGGTTTAGACTCTCAAAAAAAAAGACAAGGAAGAGAAACAGCTGATCACAGATAAATCTTGTCCAATTAAATTGTATTTTGGAGACGTGTTGAATCAAAATGTTGCATTGCAATAGGGTGTCAAATGGGCGGGTTGGATTAAAATTTGATATATTAAAATGAGTTGAAATAGAAATTGGGTTGAGTTTTGATCCGCCCATGTTTACTTTGGACTCAAATGGATTGGGCTAAAAATTGGGCTGAGTCAAGACCTACCCAATTTGATCTTTTTAATTTGGACAAATTACTTAAGTACACAACATTACTTTACCTATTCTCAATATTTCCCTACTCTTTTACTAAAATACAAAAATCCCTTATTTTCCCCAATTCAACTTAATCGGATACTTTATTAGTTTAAGTATCCGCCCGTTATTAATTAAAGTATCCGCGCTGCTATGTTATGCATCCGCCCGTTATTAATTAAAGTATCCGTGCCAACAACTTAATAATTTAAGTATCCACCCTTTATTAATTAAAGTATCCGCGCTGCTATATTATGTATCCGAAAGACACTAAAAAAGGGATTTTTGGTAATTAATGAAAGAGTAGGGATAGGAAGTAATTTCCTTCTTATACTATGTGATTTGCCTAATTTTTACTTTTAATTTTAATAATTTTAACATGTTATTATCTAACTTTTATAACCACAATTTAAATTCAACTAAAGCATTATTTTTTTAAAAAAAAATTACAAATGGATGAATAAATTCAAAAAGATATAAAATAGAGAGTAACACATTACATCAATGCAACTAAAAATTCTTAAAATAGGCTAAAATTGAAGATTAAATTGAGCTCAACTAAAAATTTTCTTAAAATGAGTTAAGCTTTGAATGAGTTAAGTTTGAACTCAATTCAAATTATCTTAAGCTCTATGCTTAAAATTCTAAATAGATAGAAAATTATCTATATTTGGGCTCATTTTTACACCCCTACATTGCAACACAGTGAGTCAAGTTTAGTGGAGGCGAGGGGGTTGAGTTATTCTAGCCATTGTTTCTTCTCTTTCCTACATTCTTTGGAATAATTTTGACCCCACGTCGTCTCCATTCTTATCCTAGCTAATGAAAAAAATATATTCCAAAAACATCCAATGGAAAGGAAAAGGCATAAATTCTAATAATCCCTAATAAGTGAGAGAAAAAACTAACACATTCCCCTTCAACCTAGCTTTTATATATAGGAATTGAAGTATATCTCTTGTTCATATAACTTAACATTAAGAAAATGCCTTGGAAAGGTGTAAGTGTGCCAATATCTGAGGAGCAACTAAAACAAATTTTGAAGAAATATGACAAGAATGGAGATGGAAAAATCAGCAAACAAGAGCTCAAACTAGCATTTAAAGAAATGGGTTTAAGCTTTTGTAGATGGAAGGCTGGCAAAGCCATTCGTCATGCTGACATCAATAAAGATGGATATATCAACGAAGAAG